GAGTCGGCGGTCATCGCAAACATCGCGTCCCGTAAGTCCCTCAACAAGAACTTCAACGACCAGTCGTTTAAGTTTGGAATCAGACATATAGTCGACGGAAGTTTTACCGATGAATCCACTCTTTATATCTTTCGAGTAATTTTCTATTTGATAGATATTTTTCAATATAAATATATTTTCATTAAATTTATTGCTCCCAAAGAACGGGTCATTTATTTCATCCCAAAGCGACTCAATTATGGATAGTCTGACGCCTTTTGAGAATTACACCAAAATTGGTTCTGTCTTTATAGGAGTTCCGTCCAACACTTTTGACGCTCTCTTCTACCATAAGGAGTCACGAGTCGTTTACTTTATAAATGGTTTCATTGAGAACTCAAGTCATAACACAAATCAAGAATTTAATATCACTTTTTGTTCAAAGATAACAAGTATTGGGCCTTTTCTATGGCCAACAAAGCGCTCGTGTCCGCAGATTTTCCCAAAAGTATCCACCACTTGGGTCTACCCTTTTATTTCAAAGTAAAGTCTACTTATGTCGGGGAAGACCAGGGAAAACAAACGGAATTCTATTTCTTCAGTCAAAACCATTACTTGAAGTTTGACTCAACGCTATTCACAGTACAGTATTTTATGGATCTATAAATTAGTTATTTATTAAAATATTTATTGTATGAAAAGGACGGCAAATTCACGCCTCAAAAGCCTGAATACAAGTGCACTTCCATCGACTTCTTTGGCTGTCCATTGAGCCATCAGTTCTCGTGTCCTGGTTATGTGGTTCCCGGCAAAGAAGACGAGCCCCAGGCGGACAAGTTCTGGATGGTTGTGCTCTTTTTGATCGCTGTCATCGTAGCAGTTATTATACTTATAGCTATTCTGTTACTCTGTATCCGTCGCTCAACTGCTAAAACAACTGAAGGTAAACCCCAAACCTCATCAAATGCGGCCAAAGTTTCTAAGACGTCCACAAAGAGTCCCAAAGGGAGTCGTCGTACAGACCTTCCGTCGTTCAAGTCGTCTGAAGTGACCCGACGTTCACATGTATAGACGGCGTCGCTATTTATAAATGATTCACAATATCTCATGAATATCATCACAAGATTTTATTATCAGTCATGTATTTCTCGTAAATTTCCTCAAATATTCAAATTTTTATTCATTATTTCGATAAACTATTAATTCATTAGAAATGTATATACAACGAAATAAAATTATTTTATTTATTTATAATTTTTAACAAATAATACATTATTATATATTTTAAAATAAATCACATTTATATTTATATTTATTTCTTTCGACAAAAGGAAAATATATATTAAATTAACAGTCATTATAGAGATGTTGGGACCAGAGATTTGCATCACAAACACTACAAACTATTTATGTATCAAATATTTAAATATTCAAGTCCATTACATAAGTATAGATTACAAATAAAAACAATTAGTAATAAAAATACTGTACAATTGATGAGAATGTTTGCATCACTTGTGAGTAAAATAATATAATTTTAAGCCAAACAAAGTCATCGTATGATAAGTTTGATAGGACTTCACATGACTTCACTACTAATGGTTTACCTGTAATGCATTTTGTGGCACTTTATTGGAATCACAGAATCTAATTGTCTTCTGATTTTGCAATATTAGTCTCATTCACAGCACTGTCTGCTTGTGGTACCGATGTCTGAGCCGACAGTCGACGCACTATAGCATCCGCTTCGGTGTATATCTGAATACATATCAATTGATTAGTTATAAAATAGCCATTGATATGACTGGACAGCAAACCTGATCAAAATGGACGTCAAGAAAGAGCTCCTGTAGGAAACGTCGGGCAGACATTCGGAAGTTATAGGTTGACAACTGAAGACTCACTTCCGAGTAAAGGCATATGTCTTCAAATGCTTGCGAACACTTCTGCTTCAAACTAATCACACAAACAATGACCACATGAATGATAAGTCAAGAATATAATCAACGAGCAAATGCATACTTGAGAAGACCTTGTTCCGCTTGCTTTGCGTGTACAGCACCTCCTAAATTGGTGACAAACTTGAGAATTTCTCGACGATTAAGTACTTGTGGCGGAATATTAGACGTCTCATTCATCGGAGTTCTTGAGTTATTTGTTATAATATCTAAAAATTATATAATAAAATATTAGATAATAAAAGTAAAGCCAATTTTATGTCGTCTCAAATTACGGTTAGTTGTTATTTGAGTGTAGCCTTTGTGTCTGAAACAATACAGGCAATTGGTGTCGTTGTGAAACTCGAGTCCGTTATTGAATACGATTTCATCGTTAGAGAGCCGATCCAAATGTGTCCTCCACTTCGATGTCTCAAACTTTGTCGAAACGTTTGATTTGTTTCTCTGTCTTCCGGTCTAAATATAGAAATTCAAAAATAATTATTAAATTATAATAAGTGATAAAACACTGCAATTACTAACACTTACTTCAACTTCAAACATAAGAAACAATGTTTTGGGCAAACAGAGGCCCATAAATATCTTGGGGTCACATTCGGGTGAATCGCTTCTTTCATTATAACTCACTCGTGAATACTTCCGGTCAAAAGGGACCATAGAATCGGCGTTCTCTCTGATTGTGTCCTCAGTTTCCTCGGAAGAGCGCCTGTCGTCAAAAGAGGCGGCGGACAGCGATTGAACCCTTCGTTTCTGTATTGCTCTCAGAGTTTGGTAACCGTAAGCGTCAATAGCACTGGGAATCGATTCCCTGGCATTGAGTGCTTCCAATTGGTTGACGACGAATATCTTGGATCCAATTCGCGGTAAAGTATTGCTGGCCATCGAAGGAGACATCGGAGACCTTACGGTTGTGCCGAGAGTTGAGTTACTTATTGAGGAAAGACTCGCGATTGGACTCAAATTATTTCTCTGCCGTCGGATTTCTTGCGAGTCGTAAGAGCTGGCGCTCACACCTGACGTCGAGTCCGCAAAACTTCCCGAACGGCTTTTGCCGGAACTGTTGTGAGAGCTCTCATTGCTATCACTCCTCTCATCTCTGGCTAACGCCCCGTAATATCCAAATGGTTCCGATGTCTTCCGTTTAGGAGTTTCCTGTACTGTCAGCGTCTGGTGTTTGTGTGCCTGAGCGCTCACAGGAGTCGACTGTGCCGTTGATGAGTCGGCGATGAGTCCGCTGTCATGTCGTTCCGGCTTTATTGTTGAACCCGAAGAGTCAATATCTGATGAGACGGTAGAGTTAACCATTGATTCGCTACTCTTCTGTCGAATCCAAATGACAGAACCGCTGTCACTCTCATCGGCGTCCGTATTATTATTATTAACAATAATATCTTTTTGTTGCGAAGCCTTCGGAGTGTCAGATGAAGATCGCGGACGCGAATCAATAACAGAGCGGTAGTGATGGGGAGAAAGACTCATAACTCGGGGCAACATTTTCGTCGGCAATGATATCTTCTTTTGGGGCAAATCGCCGTTCACTTCGACTGTAAGCGACGGCAAACTTCCCGAAAGTGTCGCGTCTGTGAAGTCAAACGAAACAAACTTATCGGCAGACATATCAAAGTCTTTGCCCGAAAGTATGTCAAACTTGTTGGAACCGGTGCTCACAGACCAGGCGTGGCTGCGGTCATCATTAAGATAATTCATTAATGCGTCCGCTTTGGGCTCTTCTACTAAACAGAACTTCTCGTGATGTGAGTGTCGAATGGATTCCCACCCAAACTCCTGAAGTGCTTCCGACCCTTCGAGAGTTGAGGCCAATAAACACAAGACATTAAAACACGTTCCTCTGACCGACAGAATCGGCGAATGAGCGGCCATTTTGACGATCGACTGAATCATTTCGGCCTCACTTATCAACTGAAAGCCGAGATGAGTGGCGCCCACGTGTCCGACCGCCCAAAGCGCTGCTTTCAGTTTAATGACTCCCAATTGAGAGTTAAAATCAGGCAAACGAATCACTTCATAGTGTGGTGACAGACAGTCCTCTTTAAGAAGCAATTCGTAGCCATCGCTGGTGTGGGCCAACTGGCCGTACAGATGGGGCGGAATGAATGCATTTTTATGAACGCAGTTCTTCTTATCACTTCTGCGACCATATAATCCGTCTTCACTGCGATTATGACACGTAAAGCACTCGTTGAGGAGGTCCTCAACAATCTTAACGTACTTCAGATTAAAACTCTTCTGCCATCGACTCAACTCGTAGTCAATGAAGTTGGCGTCGCGAAGGAATTTGAATCCCGACGTCAGGGATAAGTATCGGACTAATAGGAGGAGACCGTTGTCTCCCAAATGCAACAAAGACGGACGCAATTGGATTAATATCTCAAGATTTTCCACTGAATCACACGATTCTTGCAGAATATCAATGGCTGCCAACGAGACGGCGGAACTCTTATCGTAGAGCTGCAGAACCAACAGTTCAATCGCCCATTTGCTATAATCACAGACCTGGGCCCTCAACAGCACCCGTAGATAATTGGTTGCATAAAGTCTGGCCGATTCCGACACTGATGTCAACACTTTGTTGAGTAAAGTTCGCGAAAAGTTGTTCACTTCGGTTGAGTAGTCGAGTGATGAGACAATTAGCTTCATATAGACGTCATGCGAGGACAGACTTATCAGATCCAGAAAATACTGATAAATACCGGTCTTTTCGAGCCATTTCTTGCCTTTGTTTGAATTGGTGAGCCTTCCTATGAATAAGAAGTACGAGTGACTCAAAGTGCTGAGCAGTCGGCCGGGACTTAGGATTGCGTTTTGTGGCGGCACTTCGACCGCTATCTGCGCGAAGCAATTGTCTAAATCGACAAAAAACTCTTCGACGTATTCATGGACTTTGGAGTCGTCGGCGTCCAGAAGAAAGTCGAGAAAGTGTTGGCCGACAACACACAGGAGTCGCTCCTTATCATCGGTGTTACTGATGGCCGAGAATTGTTTGTTCGAAGGTTTATAAAATTGAAGCAATTTTCTCACAAAAGTCTTGTGATTATTATCGTCTAATTTTTTGAGAGCATCGCCCGGCCATCGCAGCACACTGTCGATGAGATCCCAGTCCCAGGTGTTGTACTCGCGTCTCAAGACTTGAGAATTTTTAA